ATAGATAGATAGATAAAATAGACAGACAGATAGAATAGACCAGTGATGGCGAACCTTTTAGAGACCGAGTGCCCAAACTGCAACCCAAAACCCACTTATGCATCGTCGAGTGCTGGGTGGGTGTGGCCCATTGGCTGAGCGTGGCCCATTGGCTGGGCGTGGCTGCGGTGGTAACAGCAGACTGGGTGGGAAAGTTCAATCAATCAATTCCAACTTTGTAAGATTTTTTTTCCCACGAGAAATTGAAATTGACTGATTGAAACTTTTTTTTTTTTTTTGCACATGGTGGCGGAGGCCTAAAGTGAAAAGGTTTTATAAAACTCAGCTGAAGGCCTAGGACTGGGGCGACGGCGCACGTGCCTACAGAGAGGGCTCTGAGTGCCGCCTCTGGCACCCGTGCCATAGGTTCGCCACCACTGGAATAGACAGACAGACAGATAGATAAACAGATAGAATAGACACAGATAGATAGATAGATAGATAGATAGATAGATAGATAGATAGATAGATAGATAGATAGATAGATAGATAGATAGAGATAGATAGATAGATAGATAGATAGATAGATAGATAGATAGATAGATAGATAGATAGATACACAGACAGAGATAGAAGTGGAAAGAAGAAAGAAAAGGGAAGAGAGAAAAGAACAGAAGGGAAAGGGAAAAAGACAAGGGCAGAGAAAGGGAAGAGGAGAAGAGATTGGAGAGAAGAGAACACAGGGCAAAGTGAAAAGAAGAGAAAGGGAAAAGAAGAGGAGAAGAAGAACAGGGAAAGAGAAGAGAGAAGAGAACAAAGGGGAGAGAGGAAAGGAGGAGAAGAGAATGAAAGAAAGAGAACAGCAGGGTTTTTTTTTAATTTCTCATTCTCACTTCAGTGGTACCTCGGTAGCTGCTTTGGTACTCTTCAAATTTGGTACTCAAAGCATTTTGATATGAAATTTTTGTCCCAGTACTCGTCGTTTGTTTAGTACTCAACGCACAGACTACTAGCATTAGTCGCTGTCAGCTGCCATGTGTGACTCGCTATCTTCACTCACTATTCCTGATAGGAAAAACCTGTTTGGTACTCCTTGCGCCTCCCGGAACCAATTAAGGATGAGTACCGAGGTACCACTGTATTTTGACTCCAGTTTCACACCTCGGCCTGCCTCTTCTTCCTCTGCAGGAACAGTTTGAGCTCTACAGCCAGGTGGAATCCACCTTCCAGCTTTGCAAAATCTGCGCTGAGAACAACAAGGATGTCCAGATTCGGCCTTGCGGGCATCTTCTCTGCCGGGAGTGCCTTAGGTCATGGCAGGTGATTCCCCACCTCCCTTTCCGTTTTGTTTTGTTTTTATTTTATTTTTTTATTCAGAACCTTTTTATGAAGAGGATCCATACTATAAAATACAAATGAAAAGAAAAATTGTAGGGAAATAGGAAAAGGGGGGAAAAAGGAGGGTAAGAGAAGCGAGGGATAAAGAGGGAAAGCGAAAAAAGCATTGAGCTCCAACTTTTTTCAGTGCAGTCAAATACAGGGGGTCCTTGACTTACCCCCGTTCCACTTAGCGACCGAACAAAGTTACAACAGTATTGAAAAAAGTGACTGATGACTGATTTCCACCCTCGTGGCCACCCCAGCATCCCCAGGGTCACGTGATCAAAATTCGGCCATTTTTGCAACTGACTCACACTTATGATGGTTGCAGTGTCCTGGGGTCAAGTGATCCCCTTTTGCGACCTTCTGACAAGCAAAGTGAAGGGGCGGAAGCCAGATGGACTGAACATCCATGTTTTTCACTTAACAACTGTGGCAAAAAAAGGTCGTAAAATGGGGCAAAGCCCACTTATCAAATGTTTCTCTTAGCAACAGAAATTCTTCTCCCAATTCTGGTGGTAAGTCAAGGACTACCTACATTTAGTAAATAGTCGCCATTTCTACAGCAAACAAGCTAATCAACCAATCCCAAAATTAAATTAAGATTTAATTTTTTTTCGCCTATCTCAAACATGAAGTCTAGATTAGAAGCTGTTTCTTTCTGCTCTCTTTCTGGAGCTTCCAGTTTCAGGAGAACCCAGAAGGGAAGACTATTCCCACAACCCAGTTTTCGTTGCAGGTTTGGGGGGTTAAGAGGGCCCACTTGTGGTGGAAAGAACATGGAAGTTCTGCTTCTTAAGACCCCCCCATTTTTCCCCCATCCTTTCCCCCCTTGGGTGTCGAAGAGAGACCGGTGGAGCCAGAAGGAGGAGTCAAGTAAGCAATTAGTCTGGAATCTTTATGTAGGCACAAGAGAGCAAGATTTGACACCTTGAATGCTGTTGAATCTTATCTAGCCTGGCCCAGGGGCAAACTGCCAATCTGGGAAGATTCCTGTAAATAGGCATAAGCAATAGAGTAGCTAACTGAACTCTTCATGTGAGAAACTGGTTGTTCATACCTGACATTGGGCGAACCTTGTCCCTTGCGCAGGGTTGAGTCGTGGGGCAGCAAATCCTAACGGGACCCTCTCTGCTTCTTGCCAGCTTTCAAAATCCCCCACCTGCCCCTTTTGTCGCCAGACGATCTGGGGCCACGAAGAGGTGGAGGTCAGCCCTTACAGCTCCCCGGAAGGGAGCCCGACAGCCAAGGACGAGAGCGACGAGGGGGACCTGGAAGACGTGGACATGGTGTTACAACAGCTGATGCTCATGCGCCAGACACAAGGGGTCAGTGGGAGATGAGACGGGCAAGCCTTGGGAAGGTTTTTGAGGGGCATCTCTGTTGCACCCAGGGGCACGGGGGAAGAGGGGTTAAAAGGTGGCAGCCTGGACCGCAGCATTGAGACCCCGCCCCTTTTAAGATATGTGATGCATAGTCCAGCCAGGTAACATAAGATGGAGTCTGAATGCATGCCCACCATTTTTATCCCATCCTAGGTGGCAACCTCCTCAACATTCCATGTCAGTCTCCTTTTTTAATTTAATTTTAATTTAATTTTATTAGTTTATATCCCACTTTTATTATTTTTATAAATAACTCAATGCACTGAACTTGTCTAATACTTGTCTAATCCTTCTCCTATTTTTACCCACAACCACCCTGTGAGGTGGGGGTGGGGCTAAGAAAGAGGGACAGGCCCAAATTCCTCCAGTTGGCGTTCATAGCTAAGGTGAGACTAGAACTCACTGTCTCCTGGGGATTGGGCCAAAGTCACCCGGCCTGTTTTCATTCCAAAGGTGGGACTAGAACTCTCCAGTCACCTGGTGATTGGGCCCATAGTCACCCAGCCAGCTTTCATACCGAAGGCAGCACTAGAACTCTCAGTCACCTGGTGATTGGTCCAAAGTCACCCAGCCAGCTTTTATGCTTAAGGCAGCACTAGAGCTCACTGTCTCCCAGTTTCTAACCCGGTGCCTTAGCCACTACTCCAAACTGGCTCTTTCCTCGCCTTGCCGGTGCTAACGCTGCTAATATCGGATGTTGTTGCTTTGACAACATACGGAGATGCAGCCATTTTCTTTCTTATGTTTTACTCTTAGAATTAGAGTTAGAATTAGGTGATACTGGGGGGGGGAGGAGGAGGAATGTGCATGGGAGTTTAGTTAGACATAACAATATTGTAACTAGTGTGAGAACCAAGGTTTTTTTGAAATAGATGATAAGAAATGGTGGGTTGAAGAACTGGAGGGAAAGCCTGCATTTCAAACTAATTGGAGAATGTGATTTATGACTGTTAACTGGAGGAGGGAATTGTGCTTTGATACTATGTGCTCAGGGGAGGGGAATTCAGATTTTGGCTTTGCCCTAAGTACTACTCGAACAAAGATTCTTTAAGGCAGACATGTCAAACACAAGGCCCGGGGGCCGGATGTGGCCCGCAAAGTGGTTTCATGTGGCCCGCGAAGCCATCCTGGAAATAGTGAGGGAACGGCCCCCGCTGCCTTGGCCCTGGCCAAGGCCAACCAGGAGCCAATGTACAATTTTGTGGTGGCCATCTTGGCACTTGCCCCGGTGGACCATGCCTTGGCACTTGCCCCTGTCCCACCCCCTTCTGCCAGAGACCCTCAGATCTGTCCCACTCCTGCCCAGGCCCCCACAGGCCCCCTTGACGCGAATGATGTAGAACTGGCCACGCCTGCCCAGTAGGCCACACCCACTCCATCCACGCCCACCCAGTAGGCTGCACCCACTCTGGCCACAACCACCCGCCCCCCCCCAGGGCAACCACAATGCTGATGCGGCCCTCAATGAAATTGAGTTTGACAATCCCTGCTTTAAGGTAATCAATGCCTCGAAGTTCCTTGAAGAGTTTCATCTGTCGGAACCATGACACCCAGGTTTTTTTTCCTCTGTGGAAACAGGGGCCCCCATCAATTGGCTGAACCGGTGGAGAAATTACTGAAATATTCTCTCCCTCTCCCCTTTTCTTTGACTGGCCCGAATGCAAAACCCTGATCCATCAGAACATTCCTCCTAGTTTGCCTGGATTGGGAGTCTGACAGATTGCTTTTCCCTCAGAATGCTAAATCATTGAGGAGAGAAGAATTAACCCTGTCTTTTCTCCCTTCTCTACTCCAGACAGCGGACCCCCTTCCCTGTCCCAATCTAGACCCCGGGTTGCAAACCCCTCCGCTACCCCCAAGGCTAGATCTCCTGCAGCGGAAGCCCCCGGCTCTTCCTCTCCCGGACTACCAGGTAAGTGAAATGAAGTACAGGGAGTCCTCAACTTACAACAGTCCATTTAGTGACCGTTCACAGTAGCCCTGAAAAAAAAGGGACTTGTGACCATTTTTCACACTTACGACCGTTGCAACCATCCCCGTGGTCACGTGATCAAAATTCAAACCCTGGGCAACAGGCTCATATTGATGACGGTTGCAGTGTGTCCCTTGACGACCTTCTGACAAGCAAAGTCCATGGGGAACTTAACAACCGGGTCACTAACTTAGCACCCGCAGTGATTCCCTTAACAACGGTGGCAAGAAAGGTTGTAAAGTGGGGCAAAAAAAATTACTTAGCTTTGGGGCTCTGTTGTGGTTGTGAGTTGAGGACTACCTGCATTTTGTCATGGGAATAGGACCCCTGGGTGTCTAGAGGCTGATGCCAGGTGTCTCCTCACCATGCTAATCCATTCCTTCTGGTGCCCATTTAGACCACCTCGCCTTCGACCCACTGGATCAGGGATCGCCCCTTGCCAAGCCTTCCTCAAGAACAGCCTCCGTCCGTCGCCTCATGGGACAGCTCGGCGGCCTCTCCGTTTGAGGAGAGGCAACAGGAATCCTAGTCACTGAGTTGCTTGCAGACAATCCAGGAGTCGGTAAGTAGACTACGGTCTAGAACAGGGGTCTCCAAACTTGGTAACTTTGTGGACTTCAACTCCCAGAATTCCTCAGCCAGCCGTGCTCTCTCCCCAGGCTGGCTCAGGGAATTCTAGAGTTGAAGTCCCCAGGCTTAAAGGAGCCAGGTTTGGAGACCCGTGATCTAGAACCCATCGGTTCTAGGTCCACCTTGAGATTTCAGAATTTTTACCCACCCATTTGTTGCGAATTATTATTTATTTATTTATTTATTTATTTAGACTTATATGCCGCCCTTCTCCCTACAGGACTCAGGGCGGCTCACAGCATATTAAAACAACACAAACATTGTCCCCAATAAAAGCCAATTAAAAACAAATATTTAACGCTGTGTTAATTAAAATTCTGATTAAAATTGTCCCTATTTAAAATTCTCCCTAGGCCAGA